TGGCGTTTCTTATAAATTTTTTTGACTAACTTTGATAACGTGGTTTGGACGAATTGGACTATTTCAGCGTGCAATATCTAGAGAATCCTACTCACTTCCAAGGAACCCTTGCAGGATTTTGTAGTACTCTTCAAGGTGAGTCTAACTGCACCTAGTGTAGCTGCCCATGTCTGCCACTTCAGGCAGGGGGCGTGGTCGAAACGGCCCCAAAACACCTGTTTCCTGACCTTTAAACGCATACACCATCCAAACTATGAGGGTTAGAAAACTGAAATTTGTCACATAGCACCTAAGATAGTTGCTTAACAATATTCAGAGGTCAGTCTCAAGTTCCCCCCACGGGGGGTGGTTCGCCCCCCAGGGAGTGTGACCTCACAAAAAAATTTGGCGCATTCCTTGGGTCACCCTGGTCAGGAATATATATATATATATATGATAGGATATGCTCCTTACAAATTTTGAAGAAAAAAATGACCATTTTGGAGTCCGTGCATTGTAACCAAGGCGGTTAAGTCATATATTGACACCGACGGTGTTGGTTTGACAAATTTTTGTTTTGAGAGCATGAAATTGCAGACGTTTAGATATATAAGTTAAAAATATTCTATAAACTTCATTTTATGCTTCCGAACCAGAGGTCAACGCCGACCAATTTGGCGGCGGCGCCAATTTTGAGTTTTCGGCACGGCGGCGCGGCGCGGCGCCTCAATGTTGAAGGAATAGGGAATTAGATTTATCGGCGGCGGCGGCGCGTAAAATTCTATCGGCGTATGGCGGCGAGGCGGCGTGAGATCGGTGGCGTTGACCTCTGTTCCGAACCTGGTTAATAGGAATAGAAAAATTCCACGTTTTTGTGCAGCTCTCGCAAAAAATTTTCAAAAGTGCGATTTTGCAATAGTATTTCCGAAATAGTAGGAAAAAGTACACAAAACCAAAATTTTTCTGAGGAAATGTTGAAATTGAATCCGTAAATAAATATAAATACCTTGGTGTATATTTTTACGAAAATATAAATTTTAAAGAAACTGGCATGGATTTTATTAAGAAGGCGCAAGGTGCAGAAAACCAACTTCATTCCATTTTCTTTAAAAGTAAGCTGAAGACACTTCAAAGTAGAACGAAACTTTTTGATTCTTTGGTAAAATCAGTTCTTCTGTATTGCTCACCAATTTGGGGACTCGAGCTGACCGATAAACTTAATATTTTTCAAAATAAATTCCTACGGAAAATCTTCTATCTGCCACAGAAAACTCCATCGTGGTTCCTCAGGTTAGAGAGCAATACAACCTCAATTGAAGTAGCAGTGATTAAACATACTTTAAATTTCTTCAAAAAGATCATTCAATTTCCTAAAAATTCCTTACTACGCCAGTGTTTTGAATCTTCACTCACAAAAATCAGGTTCTGGTATCAAGTCAAACTGGTATAAAATACTTGTGCACAAGTTAGACACTTGACAATGTAAACATATTTTAGATGAAATACCTGAACTGTATAATTTAGATGCATGCTCACAAAAAATGTTACAAATAAATACATGTATCCGTAAAATATATAATCTGTCGATTGAAAGTGATATTCATAAAATGCAAAACAGTAAATCTATGCCAATTTACAAACTTATATATACAAACATAAACCCCCAAGTTTTCTTAAATATTAATACTTCATGGTCTTTAGTAAGAGCAACAGTTCAATGCAGAGCTAATGTGGCACAATTTACATGCTCTAGAACAACAGTAAAATTAGCCGCATTATGCCATTTTTATGATAATTCGGTCGATCCAGTATGCATAAATTGCCTATCTGGAGACGCTGAAGATCTCATCCATGTCCTCTTCAAATGTTCCAAATATGATGAAAATAGATATAAATTTATGAATATTGTAAATTATACTAAAATAGAAGATATAATAGTATACCTGTCTCAACCTAGTGAAACAACTATGAAAAACATTTATCTATTCCTTAAATCTGTTGCTGATGCTCAAAATTGTTAATTGAATGCACCATACCTCATTTTCTGTCGTTATAAATTATTTAGAATATTGATATTTAAATTTATGGGTTAAACTAGGCTACCTTAGATTTAATATAGGTTAGTTTAACTTTAGTATATCCATGTACTAGATTATAACTACACCCTAAAAAATCAGACCAAGACACATCATCATAATTATTATAATTATTATATTTTTCAAATAATTATCTTGTGATTGTAAAGGCTGACGCCAAATCAATCTGAAATAAACTATCTATCTATCTAGCTATCTACTGAAGTTTGTAAAATTGACGAATTGGAGTCACACTGCTCATATGCTAAGTCAGGAATGCTTGCTATCTCAAAAGAACTTTAATGCCCGTCTAAAAAATGCAGAAATATTCCAAAAAAGCGGCGATTTTTGTGAAAAAAGGCAAGGTGAAGAACTATGGCGTCATATCCTTAGGACTAATGAATCCTCAAATGAGCCATATGGAGAATTGAACCTACAATATATAATATACAAAACCGAAGAAAAGTCGCATGTACCACCAATGCGTTTTTCAAAATGTGGATAGAAACTTATGGTAGAGGGTAGGTTTTTGCGCGTGGCGTCACAACCCTCCATATGATACAAATATGGCACATATCAATGCAAAGAATTTTATAGCGAAAATGCAACCTAAATACTTTTATAGCAACAGAAAGAAAGAATTTATTCCAAATATTAGTTTGTCGTTTTCATGCAGGATGGTGGTACAACTCACACTGCAAAAACGACCATTTCGCTATTTGAATGGCAGGGTAAAACGGTTTGGAGCAAGGGGGTGTGGTTATATAAAAATCTGAGTGTGGGTGGTTTGGAGAACCAATGGGCCATACTTAGTTAGGATATGCACAAAGATTCAAAACCACACACAAAAGAGGAGATATCAATGAAAGTTCAAGCAACGTTCAATTCCCTACCAAAAACTACTTTGGAAAAATGACCACAGAACTTTAAGAAAAAAGTTTAGACCATGGTTAACCTGGGTGATCGAAAGACCAAATACTAAGGTATATTTTAAGAAAAAATTTGGTTCGTTGCGTCTCAGTTTTAAGAAATAAGCCTTCGGTTTTCAACAGGAGCAAGTGGGGAGAAACTTTTTCCGAAACCTTTATTTCTACTTTTGAAATAGTCGGCGGATCTGCTTGTCGAATCATTTAATTCTTACTCTTAAGCTTTATTTTACACAACCATCTCAAATTTTTAGATACATTTTAATTAGAATTATTCCGAGTATAGGTTCATAAATTCTGAAAATTTCGACTTATCCAAATATTAAGGACAAGTTATGAAGCGCAGCTGCAAATGTGATTCCTTTGAACTGTCCCAATAGTACAGGAGCCACCGATAGCGTGACACGCGTCATCAAAATCTTTGCCAATCGGGCCGATGCACTCAATCGTCCTCGCTTTCTCGTGACAGGCCGTCATGTTCCCAAAGTCTCGTTTACAGATGGCTACCAGGTTTGAACAGAATTCTGTGTGAGACAGTTTCAAATTTTGGTTATGAATTTTGGAGGTACACTCAAAATAAGGTAGTAATGAATCATTACCATGCGGAATCACTATGTGTCTCTACGACGTCAGTTACGATTTGTCGTAGAAATGGTAATAATAAGTTCAGGGAAATTCAAATTTAATACATAATGGTATTCACTTCCTTAATATTTGGTAATGAATTTGAATTTCCCTGAACTTTTTATTACCATTTCTACAACAAATCGTAACTGACGTCGTAGAGACACATAGTGATTCCGCATAATATCTAATGATTCATTACTACCTTATTTTGAGTTTATGCAATCATATTCATTTTAATTTATACATATGAGTGATTATGAATGATAATGAATAAGAATTGGTTTACTTTGGCATAAATAAAATAGTTTCATTTTCACCTAAGCTTAATTCATGGGACGAAGTAAGAAATGAAGCCAGATAGAATGAAATGAAATGACTGAAACGGTAGTACAAAATGACAATGATTGACTTTTGAATGAAAACGTTTCTATTGAACAGGTACACTCAAAATAAGGTAGTAATGAATTATTACCATGCGGAATGACTATGTGGCTCTACCACGTCGGTTACGATTTGACGTAGAAATGGTAATAAAAAGTTCAGGGAAATTCAAATTCATTACCAAATATTAAGGAAGTGAATACCATTATGTATCAAATTTGAATTTCCCTGAACTTATTATTACCGTTTCTACGACAAATCGTAACCGACGTGGTAGAGACACATAGTCATTCCGCATGGTAATAATTCATTACTACCTTATTTTGAGTGTATGTACGGAATTAGCACAATATTCTAGTGTCCACAAAGTAATCTTCTTATACAGTTGGAACATATTTAAATAATTCACCTTCTTTTTTAGCCTGAGTCAAAATCATGGCGGAAATGAGGATGAGTACAGTTCTTACTCTTGTCGTGGTCATCATGGTGGTGGGGGGAACCAATTTTTGCTAAGGAATTAGAGAGGAAATTTTCAAAATTACTTTAAAATATTAGAAATAAAACAGATCACTTACTGGGTCGTGAATTTCGTCCTCCTTATTTGCCACGCAGACTTACTTACTTATCCTTCAAATTAAATAAAGAAACGCACAATGGGCTGAGGTGCAATCTACGATTATGAAAGGAAATACTTACGTATTTACGTAAGAAGAGAGGTTTTATTACTGGAAGTGACGAAAATGATTGTATTCCTTTAATCGCGACCATTCTTGTACGGCAATTGCAATTGTTCCAGCATTGATTTATTGCGCCGTACAACGATAATATGTACATAAATACTTAATAAAGGTGTCTTACTTTATGGATGGAAATATTTAAAAACCAGGGCTGACATGGTTTATATTTTACGCCCTTAGCAAACTGGTATTAAATCGGTACCGTCCGGAGTGCATATGTATGCATGATTTTTTTAAGTTTTAATTGACGTTTCGTATCAAATATGTACATAAAATAAATATGTAAAATTATTTACTTGATGTATCCAGCTACAAAATTCTTCTAAAATCGACTTTGCATATGTATGATCATGGAGTCCATGTCAAGTTAACATGACATAAATCATTAATTAGCTGATATTGCTAGCCAGTAGCAAGTCAGAGGTTGTCAACGCCAGATTTTGATGTCCTTTGGATATGTTATGGGCTCAATGAGTGTAGAAAAAGTGTGGCCATTTGCGACCCCGACACCCACTCAAATTTTGGAAAAATACGAAAGATCCATTTTCTTGTGTTTAAAATACAGCCAAAAATCAAACTTTTCTCAGATCTTGGAAAAATTTAAAAGTATGTAAAAGGGCTCATAGAGTTTAAACCTCCTTCACTTTTCCTACACTTATATGCAAAAGGAATCAAGATCTGGAGTTGACAACCTGCGATCAACTACTCCTAGGTAATTTATTTGTTAAAATTATTTTACATAACCTTAAAACTTAAAGACACGAACCGAATGAAATGACCAATTTTTATATCTGTGTAGTCACAATGATCATGCACGATCGTCTATGTATAAGACATGTATTTAGCATTTACAAATTATAGATTTAGATTTATAATACGTTTTAATTTATCGTTTTACTAAATACAATTTTTTACAGCGTTCTACAATCTTTTAGTTGCACCCATCCTTATGTACTGACACCGGCGGTGTTGATTTGACAAATTTTTTGTTTTGAGTATGCCTCAATTTTAACCCGATACCTTTCAAACATTTCCGCTCGGGAGCGTTATACTTGTCCGATACGTTTGGGCAGCCACACTTACCTTGGCGACAGACCAAATCTAGGTAAATATACGGATAGAATTTTAGATAAAGTTTTCAGTTATTTCTGCGAACCGTGAAAACTTAAAGGTGGTTTAAAAAATGTGAGTTTACAACGGAATTTTTTTCAACGGGAAACATTCGCAAATCTCCATTAGTTAGCGAAATTTTGTCTCTGAAATTCAATATTTTAAGAATTTTGTCCTCAGTATTCCATAAGTTTTGATAAAAATTAATACAAATCTCAATCCCAAATCCATAACTAATGGAAATTTACAAATTTTTCCCATTGGAAAATTTTTCATTGTAACCTGACATTTAAACCACGGAAACACATACCACCATTCCGGTCACATTTAACCCCAACAAGATCCTCCCCCCCACAAATTTGACCATATGCCAGGTCGCATCCGTGATTTATATTCTCCACCCATCCGGCCGGACATCGGCAAATATTTGCCGTTATTTCGGTCACTCTGTACCCGTATAAACTGGCGGACGAGGGGGTTTGCCTTTCGAAATGTTTGCGAATACAGACCGCTCCCTTCGCGCAGACGTTGTGGTCCGTACAAACCGCCCCGACGACACGGTCACAGCGACCTGTGACCTTGTTATAGATTTCATACGACGGATTGGCGCATGCGCAGAGGCCATTGGTGCAAAATTGGCCGGGTTTGCAGGTAGTTTTGTTGCAGGGTTTGTTAAAGTCGGGGAGGTCAAGGTTAACATCGGGGTCATTGGGGGAGGGGATTAATGGTGGCGTGGAGATGGAGGAAACACATGAGGAAAATTGTACAAGGGCAACAAATATGAAAGTAAGTTCCATTTTGCAAAAAAAGTTGGAAAAAATGTATTGTTGCGAAATACTCTTGTATAAATATTTATTTTCTGCTCAATGTTTAACTTTGTCGAGGTTAAATTGAAACTGGACTGTGTAATGGAGTTTGGATTGGTTGATTTTGACTAATTATGAGACGCATACCTAAATACAATCATTGGCAGGATGTACGTCCTTAATTATTTGTGCATGTTTTGATTAAACGTTTTAATTAACCCGACATAAATCGCTATAGTTTTGTTGGCTGTATAGTTGCACATTTTTCTAACCGAGTGAAGGATTATGTGCATGAATGTGTGCAATATTTGCATGGATGAACTCACAATGGAGGAGCAAACATGTTCAGCCCAGATTATTTTTTGACCATGTTAGTTTGGAAGAGAAACTCTTTAGAAACAACCTTTGATTTGGCACTTGCGCAGATGCGCAAAATTCAGCACATTATAAGCGCCGCAAGTTCGCAAAAACCATGATTTTTAATGTTTTAATGTGCCAACGTGCAGCGCCAACTCATCTTAATTCCGTTTCTCACGCTCGCTCTCTCACCCCCAATTTTTGAAATAATTCCAAAATTTATAGTTAAAATGTAACAATTTTGCGTTATTGATGAAAAATGACAATGAAGAAGGGTTGAGGGGTCAATGACCTCGGGTGGGGGTGAGAGGGCGAACGAGGGAGACGGATAAAGAAAAAGGTGAACTCGAGCTGGACAAAATTATGCGTTCTTGCAAACTTGCTGAATTTTGCGCATCTGCCAAAGTGCCGAACCAAATGTTGTTTCTGAAGACTTACATACTCTACCAAACTATGTAATATGGTCAAAAAATAATCTGGGCTGAACATGGTTTGCGCCTCCATTGTTAGTAAAATAAGAATTTGTTAAATATAGTTCAGTTAAAAAAAGCTGAAGTAACAAAATGACTTTTAGCGATAAATTTATTCGAAACATGTATGTACAAATATGTAACAGCTACATACACACATATGTCATCTTGCTCAAAAAAATATAAAATTTATCCTACATACTGGGTAGTTTAAATGTCAGGTTACAATGGAAAATTTTTCAATGGGAAAAATTCGCAAATCTCCATTAGTTAGCGAAATTTTGTCTCTGAAATTCAATATTTTAAGAATTTTTTCATCAGTGTTCCATAAGTTTTGATAAAAATTAATAAAAATCTCAATCCCATATCCGCGACTAATGAAAATTTACGAATTTTCATATTAACAAATTTTCCATTGTACAGTCAATGGAACAAGTATTGGCAACACCCACGCAAGCTAAATAAAATTGGCTATAACTTTGGCATGCATTATCGAATTAGCATGAAAATTTGTACGCATTTAGTTAATTTAATGTTGTTTTCGATTATAATCATGTTTTACTGCTCAAAATTATATTAACGCAGTTTTTAAATAATTTGCTGGAAAATTTGCAAAATTAACACGCAAAAAGTATTGGCACCCTCTAACTTAAAAAATCATAGAGCAAAGAAAGGCCAATTTTACTGCGACACACTGCTTCTAGTATTGCGTGGCACCTCCCCTCGACGCAATAAGAGCAGAAATAGGCCATGGAATTGATTCGACAAGGCTCTTTATAACGTTTTTCTATATGGTTGGCCACACTTGTTTCGAACTTTTGACAAGCTCGTTTTTCGTCGAGTGGTTTCCCACCGGTCTCTCTTCTCGCAGCCCAAACAATCAGAATGACATCAGGAGACTGTGCAGCCAACGAAAGAAGCGTAACCTTTTCGGTCTCCAAAAACTTGCATCGTTAATTGGGGTAGCTGTTTTGAGTCAATGCATTTTTGGAATATAAAATTCCTCCCCAAGTCAGGTTTTTATCAAATAATTTCAAATTATCGTTTGGAATGATTAATTAGACCTCCCTGGTCATGATTTTGTCGATAATGACCAGGTAAACACGCCGCCACCTGGTCATTTAACCCCAAACCATAATCCATCCTCCTATGTGTTAAACTGCTATACGAACGTTTTCGTATTTCTGAGCCTTTTATGGCATCCGCCAGACTTGAACCAATTAATGAGCTCCGAATAAGTAAAATATGCCTATGTCGGACCAGTAGACTTTATTTCATTCATTGGAAGTCAATTGAGGCTTATATTTAGCCCATTCCAATTTATTCCGGTGGTTCGCTTTGGGGACTCTCTCGTCGGTCGGGCTACTGGAGCCTGAAACCCCAAGGCATAATTTTTTAGTGAACACCAAATTGAATGATATGTTTGCCCCACAGTTGGTACTGCAATTCAACATGGATTTGGGGGCTAAAATCTTCCGATCTCGAGTAATTTGTTGCTTGATTCATCAGTAGATTTTGGGCGTAGGTGACCTTTTTCTTCCGCATCGTCGAAAAGTAGAAACTGAGATCGTCATTTTATATTTCTTTGCTACGTTTTCAATAGTGAATATGGAAAAGTATGTTTTCTCTTTGATTTTTCGATAACAAAGCATTTTTATGGAAGAGGCATGAATATTTCTCGCCGCACCAAATACAGCTGGTTTAGTGCCGCCATTTTGGCTCCAGACAACACAACTGTAGACTTAAAATGTCGCTAACGTTATATTTTGTCACCTAATTACCTTACGTAAGGAAATGTGGAAGATGGTTAAGAAAATTGTGTCGAGTAACTAATTTAGCCACATGTTGCCAATACTTTTTGCAGGTTCGTACCTGACTCGTTAAGGTCAAAATCAGGATTGCGTTATGTTTACTAGATTTAAATCGGAATCACGATTATAATCCAACACTACATTAGATTTATCAAATGTGTTCAAAGTTTCATGCCAATTTGATAACGCATGCCAAAGTTATAACCAATTTTATTTAGCTTGCGTGGGTGTTGCCAATACTTTTTCCATTGACTGTAACCTGAAACCACCTTGTACATCAAAGCTCTCCGCCCTGTCCTTATTTAATCCTTTGTCAAAGGTTTTCTAGGATACCACGGATTTCTTAGGGTTAACCCATTTCCAAGTATAGTAAACTTGGTTTTCTTCCACCCAGTCTCCAGCCCAGTCCCACAAACATATGCGCCAACCTGGGGTGGCCATACTTCCGCTTTGACTTTATTGTCTACGCTGAGCCCGGTCTGAATTCCGGCAAGGTCTCCAACTTCAAGCTGAAGTTTGGCAGTGGAAGCGTTTGCTTTGTATTTTCCACCATTGTAGGAAAAACCTCCTAAAAATTTTATTTAGGTAGTTAATAAACATTCACAATGTGATGGTGTGAAGTGTAAATCTCCGATTTTTTTGTTATAGAAAATTACATAATACTGAGCATCTTATATTAGCGATGACGGATTTAATACGTTTAAATGTGGATAAAGGTCTAGTATGTGCACTCGTAACTATTGACTATCAGAAGGCCTTTGATTCGTGTCCTAGGGGACCCTTACTTAAAAAATTATGTAAAACGTACAATATATCATTGGCTGAGAAATTTTTTGAATAATCGGATGCAATTTGTTGAGGTAAATGGTCAAAGATCGGATGTAGTGAAAACGTTAACGGCGGTCCCGGCTGGTAGCATAATTGGAGGGCGGCTGTTTTCATTATACATTGACGATATGGGTAAGGTCTTGGTATATGGTAATGATATGAAATTTGTGGATGATGAGTCCTTTGTGTTTTTTGGAAAGATTAATGAATTGAATGAGTTGCAAAGTCGTGTTAATTTTGGTATGAATAATGTTGTGAACTACGTAAGCGATCATAAAATGTCTCTGCATAAAGATAGACAAAATCTGTCACGTGTGTCGAACTTCAATATCTCGGTCAATACTGTAATTGTGAGGCCATGCGACAAGCTCAAGTGTGTTGGTATAACTATAGATGCTAATTTAACGTGGAAATATCATATAAATAATATTGCAAAGAACTCGTATTTCAGGATAAGGAGTACGTGGGTGTTTTATTATTAATTTTCAAAAGGTATGTTCCGCACTGTTTCTGACCAAACTTTTGATGAAATAACAAACTTCAAATACTTTTAGGATGCTGTGATTTTTTTCAGTTCTGTAGGTTAACATTAACACTAGCAATAACTCATTAAAATTTACCTCGAAAATATGCCAATGATTGATTTCATTATCATCCGAAACCCGTTTTCCCCTGATGTTTTTCTTTAAGTTTCGAAACGAATAATAATCACTAAGGGACAAGTCTGGACTGCACGGGGCGTGGTTTGTGCAGGTAAAGCGATTTTCGTCTGCACTAACCCTCGCAAAAAGCCAGGTATTAGGTGGCGCGTTGTCGTCTAAAAAAAGGCCAACTCTTTATTTTGACCCCACGTTTCTTTTCAACCGGAGGACGCAGCTCCTTCGGGGTTCCTGCATACACGGCCCCATTTATTGCAGTATTTCCAGCAATAAATTTTATAAGGAGGGGACCTTCGGTATCCTTGAAAATGGTCATCATCAATTTTTTTGTCAGATTTTTGCACTTTTCAATTCACGGGCGGTGGCAACCCCTCGTGCTTCCAATGAGGGAATTATTATTTGGTCACCGGGTCATAATAGTAAACCCAAGTACCATATGCAGCCAATAAAATATTGAGCAGGTTCCAGTTTTCATTTAATAGGTTAAAATTTGCATTGCAAAAGTCGACTCGATCCTGTTTGTGAGATGCCGAAAGCAATTTTGGTACCCAACGGACGGAAACCATTTTCATACCTAAGTCTTCAGTTAACATGGAACAAATTGCTGGTTTTGGAACACCCATCTCATCTGCTATATAGGACAGTTTCAATCGCGGATCTCTCATTATTGGTTCTTCTAGTTTCCGGAGCCTTTCTGTGGAAGAAGCGGATTTTGAGCGTCCTTGCGACTTTTTGCCCGAGACCTCGTTTCGCCATAATTAAAAATTATTGACCCAATTTAATTTGTGTTTCGTGTTGGGCAGTTTTCATTGTACATTTTAAGCATTCAACCATAAATCTGCGACACGTATTGCCTATCCAGCATTAAAAATTAAATCACACTACGATATTTAATTTGCAAATCTAGCATTTTTTCCGTCGAGGTAAAGTTTGCCGATTTATTGCTAGCGTTGACGTTAACCTTAAGAACTGAAAAAAATCACAGCCTCCTAAATATATTTGAAGTTTGTTATTTCATCACAATTTTGGTCAGAAACAGTGCGGAACATACCTTTTGAAAATTAATAATAAAACACCTACGTATGTATGCAATAAGGCAATATTTCTCGAAAGCGTCCCTGGCCATGATTGGTACTGCAATGGTGTTGTCAATATTAAATTATATGGTATGCGTATGGGGTTCTACATCAAAAAAGTATCTATTAGTAGCAGAGAAGGTGGTACGTGCACTGGCTCGTCTTGTTGCTGGAAGACGGAAATATGATCAAACTGAAGGTAGCCATTAAATTCGGAGTTAAATTTCCTGTTAGCATGTATCACATACATATGTATGCAATTTAATATTTGGTGTCCTCTTTTCACATTCTTTACCTTCAAGGGGGTGACCTTTGGCGATAAAACGCATCTAATTTCTTCCCTTTAACGTTAGGAGTTTGGCCTAAAAATGTATGTACAATTTTGTCGTTGTATTCACGAGTACGGACAGACGCAACGATCTTATAAAGGGCTAAGGCGATACTAAGGAGGAAAGCTTCCGTACTTGCCAATTTCAAATTTCGATGCCCCCCCAAACCTGTCGTGGTATCTGATGTGGGTACTAAAACCCCAAATTTATTCGAGTTTTCGATGGTCCGGTAATAAAATTTCTTAGCGTTTACATATCTCATGTGCAAAGGGTATGGAAATCTGTTATTGGCAGATATGCTAGTTCCCCTCCGAATGGTATGATACATATATGAATTTCATTTATTAGCATATCATATCACGATTTATTTCCTTTAGTCTAGGAGCAATTTAAAGATACGAATCTAGTTGTAACTCGTGAGAGTAGGGAGCTTCATCGCACAACTATTACATGCATAATTTCGAAATACTACCAATTCTTTGGTTTCTCAAAAAACGAATTGATTCTTTATTTATTCAGTAAGAATTGAAATTATGCAGACAAATCTATCACTGAGTTATAATACCGTAAAAAACTGACTACGCAGGAGTGTAACAAAAGAGTCCCTAAAATACGAAAAAAAATCGCAAAAGGGGGGCAATCGTAGAAAAAATCGTCGAGAGAACCGACCACAAACAGTACACCTCCTCCAGCTCCTTACCTAGCGGAATTGTAGTCAAGACAGTCAAAAAACTATTCCGTAACCATGGCAACCGATCTATTTTGCAAATGCTACGGCCAAACTATTCAATTATCCCGCTACTTTGGACTCCCATTTACCTTCAACTTTAAAACTAAACGCGTATCAGTCACCGACTTTCTCCAAGGAAATACCATCCTCCTCCACCTATTTCTAGTCGCCGAGCTAATTTTTGTCCTTTTCCAAACCATACGTTTCAAAATGATGGGAGATTACACCCATTTAAATTTCATTATTCCCATTCTATACGGAATTATTTGGCTGTTCGTATCCCTATTTCCGGTAGCTTATCGCCCCCACGAGTTAGCTTATCTGTTCAATTTCCTATTCGAATTTTTCGCGTGTTTGGATCATCGCTATTTAACGCGCCAAGAACGGCGGGAATTAAACAAAGATTTCGACGCTTACTGGATTTGGATTTATGCTTTCACCAAATATCTCAGGATGGCATTTCCGTGCATAATTTTGCTTCATTTTGTCCTCGTCCCGACAAATCCGGTCCACATAATTAGCATTTTTCCGAAAAATTCTCCCCTATTTGTAATTTTCTTTGTACCATATGCAATTTCTGTAACGTACGGAGCATGTTTTGTCGTGTTTGTAATTCAAGTTTTACTAATTGCGGGAATGTTTGGGGTAATTCGACTTCACCAGATTTTCCGGGGAATTCAGTTCAAATCGCGGGAAAACAATTTTTTAGCGGGGTTGCGGACTTCGACAAGTTTACCGATCGTTTGGCGCAGCATCGAGCTATTAATGCGGCTTCAGGGGGAAGTCGTCGGGGTATTTTTACTTCCGGCGCAGGCCATCTTGGGAAAATTTATAATTGTGGCGACCTACTTGATTGTTTCGAACGGCAGCGCGCGAAAGTCCGAACTGGACACGGTTAGTGTGGTGGTTTTGGCGGGATTCATCGTTTTGGTGGGAGTGACCTGGGTGGTATTTTTAATTTATGCGGGAACTATTCATAAATGCAGTAGGAAATGTATGGTTACGTGGAGAAATGCGAGATGGGAGGGGAGATTTGAGGGGAAATATTTTAAAATGTTTAAAAAATCGTGTAAACCGATACTTTTCGGGTATCCGGGATACTTTGAGGTGAGGAGTATAAGCGTGGTGAATTTCGTGCAAGGAACGATTAAAGGAATTTTTAGAGCTTTGTTAACTCTAGATGGGAAATAAAGTGGAGATGTAATTTGGGGGATGAAAAGGATAAATTTAATTGATTAATCTCATTAATGCAAAAGTTTTTAATTTTTATGTACACAACGACTATTTACTTATCGTAAGTAATTAATATGTAATTTTTGAAAACCCGAAATAAATCAACAATTAACGCTATGGCTGGTTTCCAGGGGTGCATAAAAATTAATTTCGTAACGGATAAAATTTCCAACACTTATCCATAAGATTTTGTTTGTAATTATTGTTTAAATTGTTATTAAATTGTTTAATTAATTTGGATACGTGGTATCCAGGTCGGCAGTACTTTTAGATAAGTCGAGGTAGCTTGCGAACCTTCATTTCAACTTTTTTCAAGGAATAATTACCAGCCTTCCAATCACTCCAGATGACCCCCACCCAATTTTTCTCGGTGGTGCTCGAATTATGATATATGGAGTTCAGGGCAACCTATAAATCCGTATAAATCAATTTTCCATCCGTTACTGAAGATTAATAAATTATCGCACCTTGTGGCAATCCTTATACCACCAGCCACTGTGGTATGTCGCGGCACAGCTAAAGTTTGCTATATCGTTGTCACTGTCAATTGTGCTGAATTGCTGTCCATTATGGTAACGTAGCCCGTCACCTGGAAAATACACAATTGAAGTCAGACACATGCGTAGAAATTCTTTCAAATAATATTGTTAAGTTCTTACTTATATGTAGGCGTATGCATAATGAGAAAGATTCAACTAATGACTAGCCATGCATAAATAAATAGTTTTTTGTTTACATTTTCAAAACTACTTATGCCTTTACTGGCAGATCGGTCCTGCTACTTCTTTGCCCGAAGAAAGTCAGAAATTGGACGTGACAGCAGAATTTAAGTATGCCTTCAACTTGTTTTAACTACATAACTGCTTAAGAGCAAGCCATCCAAGTTACCGAGCATTTAATGAAAATCATAGTCGATGAGCTTTCTGATGAAACTGGCTTTGCCACTAATTTTAACATTTCCTTTCTCGTTGGAAAATCGAAAAATTAAAAAAAATACTCTCGGAGTATAAATCTCTCACCTGCAGTTCCTGTGTATCCGGCAACTGTTAAGCTGTACTTTTCTAGAGAACCCGCCACATTGAAGACGTCGTACATCGCATACGCCTTGTTCCTACTCCAGTCCTCGAGATCGACCCGTAGCTGTGTGAATCCCTCTACCGTAAGTGCATGAATGGTTTTCAAGCCTAGATTAAGAGTTAATTAATGCAATCTTTCAACAACTATGAAATTAATGTGACATGTAACCCAGCCAGAAATCTCCGTCAAGTCTGCCAAAACCATTTTCATAGACTTCCCAAATTCTTTCGAAGTTGGTTCTCTCTCTGCCTGGAGGAGTTGGAGAACCCCTCCGTTGAATTATGACCCATTCTTCGTCACAGACTACCTAAAGATATGCAAATAAGCTTGTTTGTAACTCGTAATTACAAGTTAAAATTTAATTGGACCACAATGTGGAATAATTTAATTACATACCTGTTGATCATGAAACGTTGAGTCGGTAAGACTGGAGTCATCGTTGCAAGTCTTCACCTTGTAGAAGTCCGCGAATGACTGGTGGAAATTTAAATAATAAAGTACTAAAATTGGTTTGATTAAATTTAAAAGAACACTTCCCCCAACACTGGTTAAGCTTTTTACATCCGTACGTTGTTAATATAGTACTTGAAACTTTCCAGCACGGTCAAAATGGTATTAACCCCTTGCGACGTATTGGCGCTTGAATTCCTGATATCTTCCAAAGCTGCAGCCTGGTCGCTTTGAACCTTCAGAAGTAGCGCAGCATATTTGCAGGTTTCATTGAAAGCAGACTGTAAAACGGGGAATATTTTGTTTACTATATATCGACAAACATCTGCAAAGAAAAGTCCAAGCACCTTTCTAACTTCTGATGCTAATATTCCCAATCGATAGTCGGCGTTCACAGCGTCTTGAGTCTGAAATGTTGAAACATAAGTTCAAACTTGTTTGACCATTAAAAAAGCACTATTCATTTAACAAAAATACAGACAAAAAATCTGGAAAAGGATCTAGCAGGATTTTTTTACACAATGTTCAATGATTCGTTATTGTGTTTTACCTTTTATACAAATTTAAGGACTTTTGTCGTTATTTTTTGACCGAACCGTAGCTAACCAATATTAAATATTAACTCGAAAATTGGTCAACTTGACCAATGTCAAAATCTGGAAAAATAGAATGAGTGGATAAAATGATGTTTACCACCCAACTAAAAGCCACAGACCTGCATGGGAACAATGGCAAAAATTGGGGAAACAATTTTGAAGGCAAATAAAAAAATTGACTAGTTTATTTAATAAACAGTAAGTGGCCAATTAAACTACCCGCAATGGTCCCCCTAACGCTAACCCTTCAAACCTATTTTTCTCGCTACCCCCCAATTTCCCCCATTTTACGCATTGGGCTAGGGATTAAGCTCAAAAGATGGGTAAATTAGAACCCTAATTAAAAAATCCTTATGATTATACCAATGCGAAAACAGAGGCTACGTACGTCAGTTTCCCTTCGACTTCTTCCCCTCATAGTTTGCTCTCTGTGACCATTACCCCCCTCCATGCCAGACTTTACGAGTCCTTCCAGATTTCTCATATCAGTTTGCAAACTTTCCAATTTTTCCGTGAATCTGGCTTCCATCGTTCTAATATCTGCGGTAAATTCATCCTTCGTTGGAATGTTCGACAACTGCGTGGTTAGCTTGAGAAGAAATTAAATTATTTGCTACTTTTAGATCGTCAAATTCAAAACAAAAATTATGTAAATATGTTCAAAATGATTTCTCACACGTTCCAAAATATCATTCACATTAAGTCGAAACGTTTGTTCGTCATTGAGATCCGCTCCTTCAACCTGAATTAATAACGAAAGATTAGTCGAACGGTTTGTGCTAATGCAAAAAAAACTCGAGAAAATTATATACGTTATGTTTCATAAAGAAAAACTGGGCTAAAAATTATTTTTAGTTTTAAACACATTAACTACGTCTTGTATTGTCTACATATTTATGTACTTACACATTTAAAACGTTCATCGTACTTAACTGCACTCTAAGAAATTTTATCACCAGCGCGGTGGTCATATGTGACTCTACCGGCAGGTGGCAGAAGACCACCGGAGGGTGGATGCCCATCACCAGCTTAGTGATGATCAATCACCGTGCGGTGGTGCAGTTGTCACCGTTCCGGTAGAGTCACATATGACCACCGCGCGGTGATAGTTATCGCCAGGTTTCTTAGAGTGTGGTTTATAAATACAACTCACCAAATTAAAAAATTGTGACCAACTTCCTAAAAATATTAGGAGTAAGAAGTAGCATGTAGAATTCATCGCTGCGAAATTTATACTGCCCAACAAGATAAATCTGTATCGTATTTATGTATATTAATCTGGTTAAATTTCTATCTGGAAATTGTGGGTTGCTTCACTTTGCTTACAAATCAATCTTGGCACACTAAACAATCATGTCAAATTGTGTAATAATTTTGCGTGGCATATGTAAAAGCGTGTATCAAAACAGATACCGATGTATTCGTGTCTCTTAAGGTTTATGTACGTACATATGTATGTAAATATGTACGCATATGTACCCGTTCAAAAGAAACTTGTTTCTGTAAAGGTTAAGTAATCCCGATTTCTACGTGAAGATTTTCATTCACATTGAGTCATTGTCGCTCAAATTTATTTCATTCCCCTTCATCCGACTTTATTTCTTACTTCATCCCATGTATTAAGCAGTTTGAAAAATTAAAGCAGTTAGAAATTCTTTCATTCACAGTCACTCATCTGAAATGACTCAATCTTTCACTCATTTTCATTCAAATCACGGGAAATTAATTTTCATTCAGTATCATAATGAGTTACATGAATGAAAGTGAACAGGTATGGCTACGTATGAATAATTTGCAAAAAATCCTGATAAGTATGCATTAGACATCTAATTATCAATACATATTTGTAGCGAATAAGTTAAAACATTATTTAGAGTGGACAGTGGACACTTATTGCAACTCAAACAGCTACCTATGTACATATATGAATATAAATACTTAAGAACTTGTGTATGGAACTGTATCAATACGTATTAAGATGAGAAGTTGAATCTGCTCTTCCTGGTAAATGAGTGAGATTAGTTGGAAATTTGTAGGTCAAAGTTCTCATTCGCAGACAGACATAAATACATGGAAATATCAATCAATTGAGATACTTTTCATTCGTCAGATCACGTCCATTCGCTTCAGGCTTTGTTGTAATGTAAATACATTTGTATGCATATTCTTATGAGAAATATATGCGTCGATATGAGTAAAGCAAATTATGTATCATATGTACATACATAACTTGCATTACTTATTTACATAATGTATTTATGTAACGGAAATAAATTGCGAGAAATTATTGCATCATGTTAAAAATGTGCCAAATACATAACAACGGTTTTATTTTGGAAATTATGCTAACTCTTTTGCCTCGATTTCGCATCTCATATTTAGCAGGAAGTCGGTTCAGTGACAAAGTTCATCGTGAAGTCATGATTCCTGCCGTAATGAGAGGGTGATTTACATAGTCGATACGATTTTTGTCTCGTTATTTAACACTCTTAAAAATATTGTTACCCTTTTGAAAAGTGAATGCAATCTGAATTCGATATTTATGTACATACAATGAAGTCTTTTCTGGAGCTAGGCAGGGCTTTCTTGAAAACTAGTTATATCAAAAAATCAAGACAAAAATTAGGAATCATGTGACGCTTGTCAATCCGTTGAATGACCCAAATATTGGCGGGATAGTTCAATTTTTTAGAAAATATTTCTTCTTCCCTTTCAACCACCACGAGGCGTGGGTGCTTTGCCGCCAATATTTTTCGTCAAAGGGGCCATTCAAAGTGACCACGTGATTTTTAATTTTAGGCTCAATGTTTCTGATATAACTCGCTAGACAATAATGCTGGAGCTGGTGTATGTAGCTTGAAAAAACGTTCCATTGTTAACGTTCCATTGTTAGCTACCTACTTACAGAAGTTTCGCTTTTTACGTATGCATCAGAAGGATGGTTTATCGTTTGATAAATGATAACCAGACTCCACAGTCAATCGCCAGTATTATCTAATCTTTACTTCAATATCCTGTGCGGAGTGGCATTTATTTATTGAATAAATGTTAAATACATACATACACGACTAAACAGCCTACAAAGTGACGCGACATTCTACATAATTTCACTAATAAATTCAATCGTGTCAAACGTTTAATTCACCCAAAATAAAGTGGTAATAAATAATTACCGTGTGGAATCAGTACATATGATCGTCGTACCCCGATAATTCCGAGTGGTAACAATCATTTACGCAAGCTTTAAATTTATTACCGTCTGGTTTCCAAAGAATATTTATGAGCCATATTCTAACCATCGCGGTACACTGTTAAAAATCTGGTAGAGTCGCATACTCCGTGTTGATATTGATTTGGTAATAATTTCCTACCGGATTGGTAGTAAATTGTTCCTGAGTTGTAAATTTTTCATTACCACAACATTACTGAAAGGTAATCCCTGTTAATATCTAGAGTCACATATGTGCTCCGATCGGTAATGATTTAGTACCCGTTTTATTCATAAGAGCGTGAAACGTTAAACCTATTCCATTCGAAAACGTTTTTTTTTGCTACCACGTTATTTTGAGTGGGTCTCTTATCTTACTGGATACACAATCAAATTTAAAATTAGAGTGCAAGTTTAGCTAATGGGTAAGTTTTTAGTTTTAAATTCATATCTCAAGAAATTTAAAATTTTGGATAAATACAGAAATTTCTGTAAATGCAGGGCGAATAAGAATCCGGACGTTTGTGTGGAGTTCGTCATCCTCGAGTGAAAATGATGATTCGTCATTCGGCACAATTTTTCTTATCTTGTTGGCCGCCGTATTTGCCACAGTTTTTCTAATCGTACTTTGTTGCCTTATTCGTAAGTTTTACTACTACATTTTATTGTCTGTGCCAATGGAACCTTTTTTCAAGCTACACCGAGATTGTGGAGCGAGTTATACCAAAAAATCAAGCCAAAAATGAGAAATCACGTGGCCCTCATCATCGGTTAGGCGACAAATATGCAGAGACAAATATGTAACGCGACAAATATGCAACCCGACTTTTTTTCAAAAGGGTCATTCAACGGAATGATAAAAGCCACGTAATTCCTAATTTTTGGCTTGAGTTTTTGGTATACCTCGCTAGAAAATCCTGGTGTGGCTTGAAAAAATTGTGAGTTAAATACTAACTTTTAATGTACTTAATTTGTAGACAAAGTTATCACAGATTGCAAAGGAGATCGTGAACGGAAGCGTCGTATTAAACAAAGAGATGCCTTATTGCAGTCTGGGAATAATGTCGAACTGACAGTGCTAACCGAGCAGGAAGATTCCTCTAGAAAATTTGTCCTTGTTGGTTCTCCACATTAGAAAGAATTTAAATTGTTAATAAAATTTGAAGGAAATATTTTAAAGAAATATTTGATTTGTAAGTCGTCATTGTTCACATTGACGACTTACAAAAGTTTGATTGCATAAGAAAGTTGAGGGAAATTAGAAGGCAGGATTCTGCCTTTTTTCCTTCAATCTGTAAATATTTATGACTCACAATGGAGGTCTCCCAACGTATGCTTACAGATTTAAACCAAACTAGCATCAATCGATCATGAATTTAATTAGTACGAAATTTGCAAATGGAACTATGTATCTGCCAATGCGCAGGTTTGGCGGAGATATTTGCATCCAAAGTGGGAACAATGCGCAGCAAATTTGGGAAATGAAAATTTTGCCAGCCTTTGGGGTGCGTTTTCTCCTCTTTTTATGTAAATATAATATCTCCGCCAAACCTGCGCATTGGCAGATAGTTCCATTTGCAAATTTCATACTAATTAAATTTGTGATCGATTGACGCTAATTTGGTCCAAATCTGTGGGCATACTTTGGGAGACCTCCATTGTTAGTATTGCATGCAAAGTTTGTTAAGCTTAATCTAGATAATTTAAAAGCGTGATAAATACGAAATATTTCTACATTTTTGTCATAAAATACATACAATGGCAAGTCAAACATAAATTTATATACATATACTGCTTGAAATATCCTGCAAAAATAGTTGGCGTAAAGTAATCCATGATGTGACACATTTACTCGAAATTTCACATTTAGCCAGGTTCAAGTCCATGAAAAAAAATGTATCAAAACTCCAACCATTTGATTCCCACTGCAAATTTGTGACATTGATTTACATGTATCTGTAGACATATGTAAATTGACGCGACATGTATAAATTACACCATCTGCTTATATACACATGGTCAACGGTGAGCATTCTACGTAATGCAGTCTGTGCCAGATTATTTGTATAATTAGGGTTCCTCTGAACCGACTCTGCTTCAAAATTAATGCCAAAGCCATGTCTGAAATTAACCCAGCTACTCGTGTTTTTTACGTAAAAAACATTAAAAAAGAAACTTTTTTGTGTTCTCTTATTTTTCCAAAACGTGACTGTGTATTTATATATGTAGATGTTTATAATATTATTATTTTGCATACTATATCTACAAATAGATAGGTATGTAAGTATGCAAGAAAGCAATATTTTAAGCATCCGTAGCAGGTCACACGGTCACTTTTTGAGAAAATACTAGTGCACAAAAAAGTCTCGGTTTTGATGTTTTTACGAAAAAAAAATACGACTAGGTTAATTTCAGATGTGGCTTTAGCAAGAATTGTGAAGCATGAGCGGCCCGGAGTAACCCTGTTTATTGATTTGCACCAAAAATCTGTGCATGTCTATACACAAATTTATACTAAATAATCCCTACCTCATCTCATATTCACTTTATGCAAGTGTAGTATTCTCCTTAAATCTCAGCTGGATTTGGAACACATTTTCAACACGACTTGCTTCAAAAATGCGAAAATTTCCACTTCTCGTGTACACAAATTGGTTATATTTGTACTACTTCGCCATAACACTTGTTACGAAGTGTGACACCGATTTAAACATTATCAAAATTACGGGATCGTCTTATCAAAAAACTAAATATAACACGTCATATTGCAATCCCATCATTCCAGCGGGATTCGTCACCGAGCTGGAAACGAGTGGAGAATGTTTTAATATTTATCCGCAAGAAAATTGCACCGGGTCGTTTATTCGGACCAATTTGCGTCGTGGCAGTTACCAAGAACCGAAAACTTATCAATGGGAATGGGAAATTTTAAAAAAGGGGGATTTACAAATTGGATCAGTGGGTCCTTGTTTTGACCGGTGTGACCCTAGAAATTGGGGAGGAGACCAAAAACTAGAGGTTGAGGTTAAATTCAACGACGGCGTTGATATTCCAGGTTGGTAAATAAATACACTGTTAAAAATCTGGTAGAGTCACATAGTTAGATACTCCGGGATGGTATTGATTTGGTAATAATTTCCTACCAGATTGGTAGTACGTAATTTGTTCCTGCGTGGTAAATGTTTTATTACCATAACATGACTGAACGAAAATTCCGTTTAATTGTACCAGTGCCGGCACAGTCACATATGTACTCCTGTCGTTTAATTCCAGTTTTCTAAGAGTGTAAGGAACGTCCATATATTACGTCATCAAAAAGGTCGATGAGTAGTTTTGGATGTTATCAATCTTACTGGAGTTAAGCTCGATATGAATGTGTAGGACAATGAAGGGGTGGGTTGATGGTGCACTCTAAATAAAAATGAGTAAAATTTACTCAAGGTCGAGTAATTAGAAGGGGATGACACAACCAAAAGGTAATATTTATCCAACGTTGTGCAAAATTTGTCCAAAGTTGTGTAAAATTTGCACAACGTTGGGCAAATTTGACCTTTTCGTTGTGTCATCCTCTTTTTTACGCAACCTTGAGTAAATTTTACTCATTTTTATTTAGATTGTGAAGTAAGTGAATGGCATTGTTCTGCACAGGGAAACAAAAAATTTCCGTCATGCTGGATGGGAATGGCTGCTCCTTAATAACACGACGTGCTGCCTGGCGTGGATATAGCATGGCAATCATTGGAGATGCATATGCTTGCATCGAGCTACATTCTGCGCCCAACTGAGGCGGGGAATACATCCAATTTCGACCCGGATATATAGAACTTGACCTCCTCTCTAAATGGAATCTGGGAAACAATTCTACCAAAACCTTGGCTATATCTCGATGCGGGGCATTCTGCAATAAATCAGTGCCCCACATCCACCCAGAAGTGGGAGAAATGGGCTCGGGGAAAAATGTGGTGACGTTTTATGCCACCAAGGATTATTCCGGATATTATGGTGAGTTCGAGGGAGTTATGATAAATTCAATGTCTTTGCTGCATAAAATTGCCTGATTTTGGTCGAAATTTAGCCTTTTTTATCCAGAAAGATTGTGCATAATTATACCTATGTGATCCTGAAAGTATTTAGTTTTTCTGCAGAAAAATTGAATTTTTTTTTACAAAATTCCGCTACTTTTATGCAGGAATGAGGCTGATTTTTTTTACTTACAACATGATGCGCACGAAAGTTCCAGAGTTTGACAACCGAAATCTCCGTATTTTCGATAAGTAATAATTATGCACAATTATGCATAATTGTGCATAAACGGTTTAGAAGAATAGACAACACAGAATCATGCAAGTGCAGACACGATTATGAAGGCAATTATGCAGAATTCTAGAATCAATTTTCACATTAAAATTTAATTCGTGCATTTAAAAAAAATTATAAAAAATATTTATCTGAAAGTCAATCTATATATTTCCTGAAAATTTTTAGGTCAACCCACCAATGTCGGTCTCAACTGCGGCTGCGTAACTTTGGAGGACGACGAGAGAAAATACGTCTCCATTCGGACTTACGGCCTTTGTGTGGTCCTCTACCGTTATCCGGGTCACCTTAGGGTGGTATATAAATCTGAGCCGAGTAATATTTAAAATTCTTTATAAATTTTATGATTGCCAAAGAATTTTGTAAAACCTTGACTTCATAAAGTTATGTAATAATAAACTATTAAAAACATTTGTAAATCGAATTTCAGTTTGCCCCCGCCCGGCACATTTTTTCGAGGGGATACTATTGATTGGAAAATTATTCAGCGTGATGGAACTTCTGCGCGCCAAAAACACGTGCCTACTTGATTAGCATTGCGAGCAGGTTGAAATTTAAATCAAACCCCGTCACGCTTAATAATTTTCCAATCAATATTTGAATATTGTTGACATGGTAAAAATATGCATCCATAGCTATGTATAGCCTCTTAATTGTATAATGTTCAAACATAATGTATTCAGTATCAAATGCGATATACACATGCAGTTATTGTTTGATAAATGTCTACTGTACCTTTAAACCAGACTAAATATGGTCGAGACATTAAAATTAAGCTCATTTTAAATTCACAGAAATGGACTTATCTAATTATAATGCATCGACGGATTGTCAACATATTTAAGTATGTAAAACATATCTTCAACATTCAAAACTATGTATGTAGGTTGGAAAAGTAATTACCTAGATAAATTCAACTGTCTTTATCCAGCCGATATTTACTGCTAAATTGTCTGCATAGCAAGTTTGCGTCCATGTGTCAGGAAAGAATGCTTTTACAAATGTATTCGGGCAGGCAATGCTCAATTTAGAAAGTTGCATTATTATCGGAGCCCAAATTGATAAATATTCAAAATAAAAGTTGTAGAAAATTTACAAAAGGTTGAGTAATAAAAGCGGGACACGTCCTGACTAAACCGGGACGGATGGTCACCATGCTCGCGCAACATGCTTTATGAACGTCCCCCAACATGGAAAGGGGCATGAACTTAATTCTAATTCCGATCAGTACAACTTCACCACATCAAATAAATCTGTACATACATACATATGAAGAAGAGTAGCCAAATGTTATTGCACATTATTACACAATTGAGCAAAAACACGTGCTATCCTACACACGGTGTAACTTATAATACATATGTACATAAATATGCACGATCATTGCGTATGATGAGATCTCTTCGGACAACATTATGTCCATCTGTATGCACTGGCTTACTCATCAACACTGTCCAGCACAACATCATCTGTATAAATATGACATAATATTTGCGTCCTTGGAGTCGCGTTAGTCTCGTGATAAGCAAAAAAGTCATCTGTTTTGCCTCTGCAACGTTTCATTACTTTCCTCTCTTGTGCATTCTGGCAGTGACAAAGTTGGAAAAATAATTTAGGATTTAATTTTGGTAGAATTTTTATCCGTATTGAAAATGGAGGCTAACTCGGATAACAACTTATCCGCCTTCGTGTTCGGATACACGGGCGGAGTGGGTCGTTGCATCGTGAATGCTCTCGCAATAGAACCACGATTTAAAAAGGTAATAATAATGTTTTTATTATATTTACTGATGTTATCATATTTTCGAGTGTTTTATGTACACTCAAAACAAAACGGTGTCCATATATGACTTAACCGCCTTGGTTACAATTGTGATTCCAAGTAGTAATGAATTTTTTTCCGTCCGGTCATAACATTATTACTCCCTGTATGAAAATCATCATAACTCGGATTCAACATTGCAACCAAGGCGGTTAAGTCATATACTGACACCGGCGGTGTTGATTTGACAAATTTTTGTTTTGAGTGTACATACCGTAAATACACAATTTATGGCGCGGTCTAAATCCGGACAAAATTATAAACAGGGTGTAATTGGAAACCCGGGTGATTTTTTTCGGTTATACATAAATTCAAGAATTTAAGAACAGACATTTAACCAATATCATAATTACATACAAGCTTACTAAATTTTGGAAACTTGGGCTCAAGACCCGGTTATAAATAGAGTATTTACGGTATTACATACATACATACATATTTTGACGAATTTGCATAAATATGGAATCGCTCATATATTACGTCAGCATTTTAATGGGTGGATTATTTAGGGCTTCCTATCTTTCCCATGTTAAAGTTCCCTATCACATTATATATACGTCGAGTGGCTCGGTGCTAAAATGAAGAATTTTTGATGGCGTAATATATGGATGGCCCATAAAGTAGGTACTCCTCGTTTTCAACTTTCCATGCACCCAAAAGAGCTTCGGGGCGAGCACGTCGACATCGAAACAAGGCGTCCAGGCACGACGTCGAAGAATTATATTAGCCGAGAAGCCGAATTATCCTATTATTTAACACCAATTTATTTTATTTTGGCGTAGCAGTCATTCAATTACTCAAATTCTTGGCACGAATTGAATAATTTAAACGCCAAGAAAATAAACTGGTGTTTAATAATGGGATAATTCGGCTTACTCTGCTAACATATTTTTTGGACGCCGTGCCTGGACGCCTTTTTTTGACGTCGACGTGTTCGCCCCAAAGCTCTTTTGGGTTCAGGGAAAGTTGAAAACGAGGAGTAACGTTGAATTAAATTATTTGGCATTTTTAATAATTTATTTTTAGGTAACGCTATTCGGCCGTAGAATCGTGGATTTGGAGGAAAAAGACAAAAAAATTCCTGCCGCCGCTGATTTTACCAAATTTACCCAGGATGTCGTAGATTTTGCCAAACTTTCGGAAGATTCGGAATATTTGGCGGAGAAATTGAGAGGTTTTGATGTCGGGATTTATGCGTTGGGAGTGAGTCCGCTGAAAGAGGATGAGGAGACGTTTCAACGGGCGGCGAGAGGGTGGGTCCTGACCGTGGCGAAATTGGCGAGGGAGGGCGGTTGTCGCCATTTTCATAGAATGAGTGGCGCCTTGGGGAATGAAAATTCTTGGTTGAAGGTATGAAATCATTACACTCTTAAAAATTCAGTATTAAAATAAAATGCTACACGGTATTCATATAAATTTTTCGAAGGGAAAAGTCCCTAAATATCTATTAAATAGTTACAAGATTTTCGATTGAGACTTTTATTCTCAAAACTGGTGGAATATGTACTGATGACAAAATTGTCAATTTGTTGACTTTCGGGGAAAAAATTTCCGTCAGTAATGGGAATTAATGAATTTTTCCCATTGAAAGATTTTGTATCGTGACATTTGCATATATGTACATAAAACACTCTGTATGAATCTACCAAAGTGGTATTGATAAGTAATACCGCTGAGTAATTGCTCGGCATGCATAAAAGTAATCAAGTAATTGACCTTTTCGTGTTTTTATAATTTCATAATATTCATTAATTATAATTTCAGTTTGGCCGCTTCGCCGCAGAAACTGACAGCCTCCTAGGGAAATTAAATTACCCTCGGATATCCATTTATAAACCGGGCGCCATTCTGACGGAATTTAACAGTGGAGGGATGATAGGACCCGGGATGGTGTCCGTTATGCGTCACCTGGACAGATTTCGATGGTGGTCAGTTGAAGGGGAAACTGTGGGCCAGTTTTTAGTACAGACTTGCTTCACCAAGCCGAAAGATGAAAATAATTTTGTCGAGGCATTTACGAATGCTGAAATGAACCGGTGGGTGAAACAACAAACGAAATAGTCACACTTTGTGAGTGACGTTATTGAATTGTTTGATTTCTAACGTACCGGCGAGTTTGTTAATTTTCACTTTACACACATTTTATTCATGTTAAATAAAAAGGCTTTTTGGTAGAGCTATTTAACTAAATATGTGTGTATATAAAATTCATCTATTTATTCGGTTTATGGCATCAAAGTTACACATAATGTATGATTACCGTTTCACATAATTCTTTAGAAATTGGCATTTCAATATAAATCATCATTATTTATTGATCGCATTCTTCACATTAAGAAATAAGGTACGTATTTTTCCATTTATAAATGTGGATACTTTCTCCTCTCAAGTTTATAAAAAATCTGTCAAATTTCGTACTACGAAGTTATGGAACGCGTTACCAAGAAATTTAGACGTAAGAAATATGTCATATGGGAAATTTAAAGAATTTTTATGTGAAGATATGCAGAAATAATTGTTTAAAAATAACGAAATGAAGATATATTAGTAAGTAGATATAGTTAGTTAGTAACATATTTGTATATTGTATGTGTCACTCGTGGAAGAGCATGGTTTGTTACTGTGAACTTGGTAGACACTTGAATAAAGCATAATCAATCAATCAATCAATCAATCAATCAAGGAAAAATCAAAAGGAACATCGCGACATAAAATTATCATTATTCAATGTAGATTTTCTTCACATAAATTTGACGTTATTTCGACACTTTATAACTTTAAGCATACATATAAATAATCTAAATAGATTACGACACAAACAGTTGACACTAATACGAAAACATAAATTAACAGGTCCATCATGGAAATTCCATCCAGATTTTTAAGAATGATCCAATTTGATCAAACTGCCTTAAAAACTTTGCTTGTATTGACTTGAACCACGTAATTTTAAAATTTCTACCAAATCGGAGGGTTACACTTCACCCATTCACATTCTGAACATCACGAATCAATAAATATCTATAGGTTAAGCCGGTTTTAAACTCCGTTTCAAGATGGGTGATTTTACAGCCACGTGGAAAGAGCATGTTATTCTCGTGCTCCTTGCCTGTGGCGCTGGAATCAACCATCGTGAAACGAGTTTATAAATATGATTTACGGAGACACACTGTAAGAAGTTAGCCAGGTATTGATTTAGTTTCTCGGCATTAAATTTGACACCATTGGTGTTGAAACTAACCGACCCGAGAAATCCTGCTACGGGTATGTTAAAGCTTTAACAGACTTTTACCTAAATAGGAATTCATATTATTTTGGTAGTGTCATAGATGACACTACCAAAGAATTTCATAGATCTATGAAATTCTCCTGTTTCTAGTTTATGGAACACTTGATTTGTAAGAGTGATTTCATCCAGTTTGATCGTATTCAATACGCCATAATCATGTAATGCCCAAGGGGAACGTGCAAAAAGTATGTGATTGATTGAGGGGGTACGCGGCAAAGAATGTACCCTATGCTTCTTGTGTTAATTATGACATTAGAAATATACACAGTGGTAAAGTTCCTGCGAAAATGGGTCCCTTGCTTTATGAACGGCCCCAAGAAAGTTAAATATATGGCTAGGAATGTACATTTGCGCATACGTTTATGTATACCTCGTACGTTTAAAATTATAAACTAATCAATTATGCACCTTCCATACATACATTCCAAACCTCTTACCTTGTATATAAGCCTGAAGAACTTACAATTACTATTGGAGTCTAGTGAAATGCCTGTATGTACGGTAGACAGCCGTTTTATTAAATAGCTTTAGGCTACTTTATGACGAACTTGCGACGAACTTGTCTGTCCGTCCATCAGCAGGATAAGGCGAGAACACATTAGGATAGTCGAGATCCGTTTGCCGCATAAATATTTGCGAAGGGGTTAGGGGGCATTTGATGTAACGAAGTAAATGACTTGCGTGAAATCAGATTTTTGGAAGTTAATTTAACTAAAGCTACAGATACATACTTATATGCATGCGTTTCCTGCTGTTTATATTTGACCAGTTTAAACTAGTTCCAAATCCACAGAGTTAAACATTTTGGATTTTAGGATGCCCTAATCCAATAAGGAAATTATATTGATTGATATACTCTTAAAAATAGTTTCACCTCTAACAAACGAAAATATTCTCAATTTAGTAAACTAGGTATATTAAATCCAAAGTAACACACCTTGGTAAAAACTAAGACCTACCCTAAATTAAGTATTGCTTACTTAATTTAGAATCTCCACTGTACATATTTGTGTACTTTTGAAAAGGGTAACATATTTTTTAAGAGTGTCCGTTGCAAATTATGAATTTCGTTGTAGCGATCCATAAATGAGAATAAGTCCAGAAATAGAGTTGGGATACATAGTTACTTATCAATCAGTCACGTAAATACGTAAGGCCATGATGGAACTTATCGTATATTTTCATATTTGAATTTATTGACATCAAATTTCGTATTTCGACAGTTATGGCCACGCCTGGAATGTGGAAACTTATCCACCTCTTTCAACGGCTGTTTGGCGATAATTTGTACCTCCTCCCTTACAAGGTATCCATTCCTATGAGACAACTTTTCCTTATTCGAAACATGTCGAGAAAACGACGCTGTTTCAAAGTATTTTGCACTGTTTGCCTCTTCTGTCATACCATTTTTTGTTTCGGCCTGTTGTGTAAACCCTTCTTCACGGGGAAACAAAAGGAGCCCTTTGCAGCGGACGAATCTGAAGCCGTGAGAGTCGTTCGAGTCTACGTTCAAATTTTATCGGCATTCTTTCCATCCTCGTTTTTGGGAATGAATTATGTCATAACCTTCACGGCAATAGTTCCAAAAATCATTTTGTGCAAGATAGCGGATTTCCAGAAAGAGACACAAGGTACGAACGTGATAAATATATATTTTAGATTCAATGAAAACGGTACGTTTCATCTATATTTTAGCAGCTGTAATATGAAGCAGCAATAATTATGTCGTTATCTCGGAGATTATCTTGCAACAGGGTTTCTGCTCGTGTGTACGATCTTATTTTTAAGCATAAAAGTGCACACAAATGTATAAAAATGAATGAAGTGTAATCTGAATCTTATGTAAAAAAAACGCGGAGTGCATTAAAGAGCATAAACTACATACAAATTCTCCAATATGTTGGGAAATTTAAATGGTTACAATTGAAAGATAATTTTTAACGTTTGTTCTTACCCATTTATGATTGATTGATTGATTGATTGATAGTCATTTATTCACATGTTATTCCTTGATCAGTACAATTTAATGACCATATGAGCCTATCCAAAAATTAGGTTTTCCTTCAAAAGTCAGGCAGTCCTATTTCTGACTGAAGATCTTCATTCACATTCAGTCATTTTCTTTCAAACTAATGTCGTTTTACTTTGTCGGATTTCATTTCTTACGTCGCCCCATGTAGGTATGAAACATAATAAGTTAAAAAATGAAACGAGTGAAAAATCCCTTCATTCACAGGCATCTCAAATGATGGAATCTGTAAGTCTTGTTGATTCACATGACAGGATATCCATTCACAATCATTCATTATGTATTATAATTATGTAGTAAAATAGATGAAAGTGAACAGGTGCTTAAGACATTTTGTACACTACTTTCCTGCAGGTGTTTGAACAGGGTGAAACCCTGCCCTATAAAAATTTTTACTGTGTTTAGTTATTCGACACAAATTTATTAATAAACAGGAAACCCGACGGTATATAAATTGGTGATCATTTGCCATAAAACAATTAATCGCACCTTCAAATAGTAACCATTCAGGTCGAACTAGCTAAACCCCTCCTCGTTTTTCTATTTTTATCTAGAGGTGAAATAATAAGGGTAAGCCTTGCGGGGAAAATTCGTAACTTTGGAAAAATTACGCATAAAATACTTGCTTTGAATTTTAAAATTACTTAGCCCCTTCTTGTCCACATTTCTTATGAAGAAAATGGTCTACTTTTAAAATACGAACCATAGTATGCACAAGTTTGCAAATACATAGATCTTCAAACCAAAACTTTTCGCATATTTTATTTATTCGCTAACCCCATGCGAACTCGTAATGAATACCCTTAGTGATTAAAAAATACAAAATTATTTTCCTTATTTGCTATGGTGTGGTTTTTAAATGGGGAGTACTGCCCATTGTAAGCTAGACATGTAAAAAATTTGTCTCCTATTAATGCTCACACCATAAGTTGTTATGGTTAATAACTAAAATAATGATTTAATGAATACCCTTAATGAGTAAAAAATACAAAATTATTTTTTGATTTGCTAACTTCTTAATATTATCGTTAATATGCAGATAGCTACCAGAACATTAAAGATGTCTGGATTAAAAGGACGTTGGCTCGCCTACGTGAAAGACCAGTCTGACCGGACGGCACGTGATTCCAGAGCTAAGGCCAAATTGGTGGGATGGGTCGTCCTTCTAATCATCATTGGGTACAATCTTCCCAAGGGGCAGGGGTCCTTTATTGCGTGTGGTCCCTGCGTTACATGGGCTGCAACGGTTTGTTCCCACCTGATCGCGGCGGGTGGTGCGTGCGCAGCGGTGGCCGCATTTCCACCCGCTCTGTGCGCATGTCTCCTCACTTTTGGGGGAGGTGCATGCCTTGCTGCGGCGGGAACGTGTACGTTCGTTTGTTTGTTTCCATCCGTATAGAAAAATGTGTTTTAATTTTTAAGATGACAACTTTTTGGAAGCAATAAAGAATTAATTAATTAAGATTTTAAATTGTATTTAGATGTTATTTTATTTCATGGAAAACTGCATTGTAAAGAATTCGGTAGAGTTATGTACATATGTATGCACACATACTCTGCTCTTACTTTGGCGTGTCACCTAATTTGCATAAATCTCACTATACCCATTTTCGGCGATAACTTCTTCAGAACTTCTTAATGTGTAAATATGCACATATGTAGCCGGGGAATGCGTTAAAATAGGCAAACTATGTGACAAGTAGGGTTGCCATCCGATCGGATAGGATAGGATAGGATAAAAATAATTTTTATCCGATCGGATAAATCCAGTGTTCGGATAATCCGAGTCGGATAATTTCAGAAATACTATCCTATCCGATATCCGTCGGATATCCGACGGATAGGATAGGATAATCAATTAATTAGTAAAATAAATACACAAATTTCAAATAATGCCAACAATTGTCGGGTATTCGATTTACATATGCTCTCTTAAAATTATGTCAAGTGCATTGAGCACAGACTGAACTACTAAGGGAGTTGTAGGAATTAGAAGTGATACATATTTATGTATTTGACAAACGTAGTTTTGTAAGTCTCCACTTTTCTTTATTAGTTTGAATAAGTATGATACGCACTATGTAATCAGGTCAATGTATCACAATGTCAATATTCAAGTTAATTACTTTAAAGCACCCACAGAACTAGATTGATTCTCTAAGCAATGGGAAAATAATCTTATATATTACCACAAAGGGAACCGTTTTGTGTCTGACATGGTAATGACTTTACTAAGATTTTCTGGAATTACTTAAATATATCCATGGATGAAAATGAAATACAATTGGAGATGGAATATTTACTTTACGTTCGCACATACAACGTGTCTAAATTACACGTAACTCGTCATTTTAAATTATCCGATATCCGTCGGATATCCGACGGACAACATCGGATAATCCGAGTCGGATAATTTTAAAAAATTATCCTATCCGACGGATATCCGAATCGTATTTTTCCTTATCCTATCCGACATTATCCGATCCTATCCGATCGGATAGGATAATCTCGGATAAAAACGGCAACCCTAGTGACAAGCACAAATAATTCCGCAGTACATGCGTATGTATTTAGGTAGGTACGAGGTAACATGTTTTTAGAGAAGTTCAGACAAATTCTTCACCCGAATTGGCACGTGTACATGATCTATTTTCAATCAATGAAGACTAATGTTTGATAAAAAATCCGGGAAATATTTATCTAAATTTAAATTAATTTATCATGTAGATAAATCAATTCATATTCCACATAAATAAACTTGAAATGTAGGTTGAAATCTTAAATTAAAATTGTGACGATTCTAAATATTAAGAAATTGTGTATGCAGGTACATAAAATACATAAAAATTCTTATGTATCCCATACTTTAGAAATGTGTAAATAAGTTAGTCATATTTTTCCACTTTAAAGGACTGTAAAACCATGGGGAAGTTGGGGCTGAGTAGTTGATTAGTAGTTGGAGGAAAGGTTGTAGTTTTTTTCTGAGTCGTTTTTTTATATAGTAATTGTGATAATACACATGTAGTTGTTCTGGTAGTTGAAGGAGTAGTTATTGGGATGGTTGCTGGAATAGTTGTGTGAGTAGTTGGTACATGAGAAGTTGTTGTTGGAGTAATTGTGGGTTTGGTTGCAGGGGAGATTGTTGTATTAATTGTTGACTCAGTAGTTGTTGAAGTAGTTGTTGACTAAGTAGTTGTTGTACACGTGGCTGTTGTGGTTGGGGTTGCAGTAGGTGATGGAGTAGTTGTTGCAGAGGTAGTTGCAAAAAGTCTTGTGGTAGTAGTTGTACCAATTGGGGGAGACTTTGTTGCAGTATTTGTGCTGGAAGTCGCTCAAGTAGTTGTTGAATTAGTTGTGGGAGAGGTAGTTGCAATAGTTGCTGTGGTAGTAGTTGCACTAATTGAGGGAGAGTTTGTTGCAGTAGTTGTGGCGGAAGTAGTTGAAGTAACTGTTGGAGTAGTTGTTGGAGTAGTTGATTCATACCAGCGGAAGTGGTTGTTTGAGTGGATGTGGATATAGTTTCCGGAGTAGTTGTAGTTGGAGTAGTTGTCGGTGTAGTTGTAGTCATGGTCGTAGTTGTCTCTGGGGCTGGAGTTGTCAGTACCGGTGGTGGGTTGGCAGCATTGAAAATATTTGTTAGAATATTTTCAAAATACCATCCTCCAGGTAGAGCTCTCCCACTTCGAAAATCTGCACCTCTTCCAACCGAATTATTGAACGGAGTATTCTAAAAGCAAAAAAGAAACTTATAAACACGCCAATAAATCAGTTTTAAGAAAATGCAGCGAGTTTTAAAAAAATTGCAAATGCGGTATTAAAATTATTATCATGCCTAAAATCTGGATTCGGATATATTTAACAAAATTTTAATACCGAGCTAAATATGTACTAAATACTGAAGGGTCTTACTAATCGATCAATATCATTTGGTATTATTTCAATACTGGGCTGACTTTCTAAGGAGGGGAACCTCACTAGTTGCCACCCACAGATCTCGATGCCCCTTGGATATGTTGGAGCATCCCATGAGTGAACAACAACCCCCAAGTGGTTTGATGCCATGGCCACATTTGTGCCCGCCACACCCACTTAAAGGCGTCAAAAACACGAAAAAAGCCCTGTTTTAAGTCAATAAAACCCTCGCCAAAAATCCAATTTCCATTGGATTTTGAAAATATTGCACCATTATACTCCCAGATAGTTGTGTTATCATATCCAATATCAAACTCAACTTTTTTGAAATTTTAATTTTTTCGAAGACGTACCCCTGGTCAGGAAATTTTCGAAAATATTCAAAAAATTTAAAAAATATATTTTGGTGTCGGATATTATAAAACAACTATCTGGGAGTATAATGGCGCAAAATTTTGAAATTGCGGCCAAATTTGAAGTTTTGGCGAGCGTTTGAAGATAGTGATTTTCTTGTTTTTGGCGCCTTTACGTGGGTGTGGCGGACGCAAATGTGGCCATGGCATCAAACCACTTGGGGGTTGTTTTACACTCATGGGGGGCTCCAATATATCCAAAGGGCATCAAAATCTGTGGGTGGCAACTAGTGAGGTATTCCTCCTAAGAGTGTAGATTTATTTAAATCAGTTGGTAAAAAATTTAGATTATTAAATTACCTCCAAAGTTTTACCCAGGCTTGACTCAACTATTGCAAGGAAGAGCAAGGCTCCTACTAAAAGCGGAATTTTGAAGAGGTACCTCATACCTATTTGGTTAAAAATTCTTAAAAAAGCGGATCGTAAAACAAATTATGTAACTCTACTTCTTCACTGCCGTATTGCATTCGTTCATCTGTGCCTGTCCTGAGTGTCATTTTATACCGGTAAAAATGCCCTTGACAAATTTACCTGGTTTACTTTCGGTAGTAATCTTCCATATCGGAAATGTCAGCATTACGTCACTTCCACAAATTCTCAACGTAATAATTGATATATTAACTTATCTTCTATGTAAAAAAGTAGTCCAATGCATTGCCCGCCCTTCATTTTTGTTGTGCATATTTACATCTCTAATTTGTAAATCGTGTAAACATTAAAGTAAAAGTTATAGAAATACCGAGTCGTGTGAACTACCCATGCACTTTAAATACATAACTTGGATACAAATGTAGGTGGATTGGATACCATATTATATCCACCTCCGTATATAGGGGGATATGTACATACATAATTTATAATTTACAAGTTGCGAGTTTACTAGTTATCTCGCTAAAATACGAACAGGATAAACCCATTAACCAAATCCATGCCATGGTCGGGACAAGTAACGAGTTATTTTGTTTTGACGAGAGCAATTCATCCTTCCGTTATCATCACAGATATTCATAAAATGCATAAACAGTGGTCGTGGAAGTGAGAGGACAGAGAGACAATGTCCCCACGGAGGATGTTTCCATCATCAGCCCATCTACCTATGTAATGTAAACCCTTTCTCCCCGATCCTACAATATTAATGTCCGCAGCCGCGGAAATTAAAATGAAATGGAAATTTAAAAATTTTTCAGTCATGCATTGCTGGGAAAGTCGTACTCAAAACTTATCGAGTGGCTGAAGCTATGCGTGACGGTGTAATTACGGGTGTATTTTTAAACTTTAATAGTGCATGATTGAATAAATTGGCAATAAGGTTTCGCGAAAATGTCCCATGTACTTACATCATTCATGACCAAACGACGTCACGACATTGCAATTTTTACATAAAGACTTTAATTTGTCATTCTTTTCTTTGCACGCTATGGAACTTAAAATGAGGTTAATTCACTTAATGGTCGAAAAAGTCTAGCCATTCTGCAATCATTATTTACTACCGGACAGTATCGATCGACCCTTGACTTGACCTAGAATTTGGGACGAGTATTTAGCACAACTACCCGGTAGAGAAATCAGTTCAGTCGGAATTTCCAGAACGGCAAGAAACCAACCAGATTTCATTCGACAAAAAGTTCATTTTAGTTTTTGAAAATAATTTCAAAAAAGTCAAAATGCAAGTCTCTCCTCAAGCTTACGCTGCATCGAACACTTTTCAAACCCGCGATGCGCTAAATGTAATTCATCGCGTGAAGGACAAGTATCCCGACCGGTAATAAAAAATTAGGAATTATTTTAAAAACGTGTAGAAAGTTCCCGACTTAATGGGCGAAATTATGTAACTTTTCTTGAAAAAGAGATTACACAAATAGTCTTTTTGTAGATTTATAAAGCCTGATACACTCGGTACAATTTAACAAAATAAGTCGCACTTTTCCATACTATGTTTGACTTACAGTGCATTGGTTAAGGACATTAATACACATATAAATATATATATACGTTGCGATAGCTCATAATGAACCTTAAGATGCAATTTGACTTAAGTGTACATATTATGTACTAGCACCTTAATACTAATTCCATTATGTGCTAACACCTTAAGGTGAATTATGTGCTATATGTATTTTCCTCAGTCTGACCCGATTGAGATAACAAATAATCCACCTGATTAATTCTAAATATCAGTATGCAATTTTAATTCACATACTTCTTAGCACCTTCAACATCATCCTGGACATCGGCTGCGGGACGGGAAAAGTCACCGACATTCTAAAAGACACTTTCCCCACCGCCAAAATCGTGGCGATTGACATCGACCCGAACATGATCGAATACTGCACCCACCACAGTCGCCACGCCCACCTAAACAATCCCATTTCTCATCATCACCACCCCATCTTCGGGCGGGTCACGCCACCCCCCGTGCATGCCATGGAATACATCCTAGCCGACTTTTCCCGCCCGTGGGACGACCTTCCCGCCGCTTTGCACGCGTTCGAGGGGCAAATCGACCTCATCTTTACGTCCCTCGTATTTAACTGGATTCCCGAAGTGGGTAACGCCTGCGGGAATATTGCCCACCTGCTCAGCCCGGGTGGCGACATTTTCGCCAACGTGGCCACCATGCTGCCCACGTACGGCGTCGCTTTTTCGGATCCAACCGTTCCCGCCGAAATTGGGGAAACTTTTAACGGAATCCCGCTCACGTTTAAGTACCGTTTCGGTTCGGAGGAGGCGCAAAAGGAGAAATGGCGGGAAGAGTTGGAGGCCCATGGGGTGGGAAGGGTCGATATTGAGTCGCTCGTGACCAGGTGGGAGATTCCGCAGCCGGAAATTGAGCATAACTTGGTGGCAATTTGTACCTCGTGGTACTTGAAGTATTTGACGGCGGGATGTTTGGATGAGAAGGAGGAGGAGGAGAGGGAAAAGGTGAAGGCGGATATGTATGAAGCGGTGAAGGCGGCGCATTCCATTCCGCGGGAGGAGATCGAGGAGGACGTGGAGGATGAGGTGTTGGATGGGGATGAGGGGGTGGAAAGGAAGGTTTTTATTCTGCCGAGATATGTGATTAACGCGACGAAGATTTAAAAATTGGCGGGACGATTTAAATACGTAGTAGATTGGTAGATAAATATGCAAATAAGAGTGAAGTACATTGTTCATAGTTTAATAAGACATAATTTATCAAATTAGGCGTAATTTGAGCTTAACGATGTGATATTTAGCAGGATTTTATAGCTTAAATTTTCCGATTTATGTATTTAGTATTCAAAACGGCTGGATTTTGAAAAGCCGGTTTTCGATTTTTTCTGATTATGACAACTTTTTGTTATCCGTTAATTATGAGACAGCAAATATTAAATTATGTTTAACGTTGTTTAATGTTTAGCCAAATTTTATAATACGCATGCCTAAATTTTCTGATTATTTATTTAAACAGTATGACATATTTACATAATGTGAATAAATGGATATTCTGTAAACTGAGAAATTCTTACGTTATTTGATTGCTTAGAATTATCTACATAGATTAGTGCAAATAAAGAATATTGTTTGAAAAATGTACATTCAATTTTCAAATTTCTAAAAGTGTTTTACTTACTGAACAAAGATTAATTTGGCTTACCTTTTACATGCATAACTCGAAAGATGTAACGCTCAAGATGTGCATAAACTAACAAATGAGAATAAATAACAGGCACATTTTTACTGGTCAAAATTTTGTAAAAATATATTGATATATTTTAAGGTGCGTTTGTTCATATGTTTGTGACGTCAAGGTTATCCATTCACATGTTTTTCTTAAATTTAGAAACTTGATTGATTTTAAATTTGCATTTTTCCCCAAATTTTACATGCGTTTAGCTTATGTCATATTTATGTAAATGATGTGATTGTCTTCCTCGTAAATAAATACTGATGTCATCGCGTGTCTTTGCAATGATTGCATTCGCGTGACTCAATAAGATTTAAGTATTAAATGTTATGCCAGTTGTCCACGTATGGCGAGGATAAGACGATATTCGTCTTGTAGTTGGTTGATTTTTCGGCTCCTTCTTTCTCCTCCTCTAAAAAATCGTGGTAAAAAAACAAAGTCATAAAATATGTAGTAGAAAGACGGAAGCTTAATTATTTATAGGCACATACCTATGTGCATACAAAATGTCAGTGTTTCTGGTGCAATAACCACTTGCAAGGAATAGCGGGGAGAAAGTGGTTTTTAGCGGGTATTTTGATTCTGCAAGAAATGGAAGGCGCAAGAAACTACGGCCCGCCGCTATTAATTTATAGGGCATTCGCGGGATTGGGCATATTTTCTTGCACTTTCTTGCAGTTTCTTGCACCTTCAATTTCTCGCATTACACTTTTTTTGCATCTCGTGGTGCAAGAAATGTAGCAAAAATGTGAGAAGCGAAACCCTGGTAATTACCCATTTGCAAGAAATACCCGCAAGAGAGTAATTTCTTGCAGCTAAATATTTTGACCTGCATGAAATGCAGGGGCGCAAAAACCCTCGTCGCTATTAGACAGCGCATATTTCTGGCATTTTTTGTAATTTTTTGGAAATTTCCTGAATTTCGCATTTCTCACGTTTTTTCTTTTGTAGTGCAAGAAATTTGGCAAACTTGCAAGATTAGAAGCACTGTAAGTTCATAAATTTAATACCTTTCCGGTTGTCTTTGTTGTGCTCAGCGTTGTCATAGCAACCCGAGTTGGGCCCACCGGCTTCGATATCTTCTTCGATCAGGTATCGATCCTTTCTGATGGGAATGATGAGTCCGGGTGTTTTGACCGTGTCGAAATTTGGACGTTTTTTGGTGTCGATTTTTCGACAGAGTTTTGCCATCCAGAAGAGCATGCCGCAGATGAGGGCGAGAAATGCGATGGCGGAAAAGGTCGCGGTGGCGACAGAGATTTGGTCTGAAAAATGGATGTAAAAGTTTATGATGAAATTCTATAAATTTTGAAATATAAAGGTCTCCGGATGAAAAAAATGGAGTTTAATAAAATGTTAGAGTTTATGAACTGAAGGGTTATGAAAAATTTGGGTAGTATTTGATTGGGTAGTAGATTTTGTAAAATTTGCGAAGTAGGGAGGGCTTTTCGCATAGTCTGACAGGTATTAAATATTTAGACGAAATTTGCAAAAATTCTTAAGAAAAATTGGGTTTACGAGTTTGCTTTGTTATTCCAGATTTTCTCAAGATTTTTTAAAAAATTCTTGGTAGTTTTTTGCAAAGTTTGCAAAGAAGGTACATCTACATATAGTTATTACGTAAAAATTTTACAAAACAAGCTTTTCACAAGTTAATTTATGCACAAACTTTGTAACTTTTACATAACATCTCGGTAATTCTGCGGCAAAATTTAGCTTAATGAATTTTTAGAAAGTTACAAAACTTTGGCATGGCTCAATATCAATTAAACTAAACATCGATCAAGTATTACGTAAGTCATAACTACTTCTAAACCAAAGACAGAACTTGATAAATTTTTATAAGGTTACGAAGCTTAGCGTGACCATAAACATCAATTATGTGCGATACTCACACCTTGTAAAAATTTAGCTTCATGAATTTTTACAAAGTTACAAAATTCGGCGTGACCATAAATTTGAATAACTCACAGCTTCTTGCTTCCTCCGTGTTGTAAATGTCGGCCGTGTAAGTTTGTCCTTCATTTGGGAGGACGGGTTCGTCCAGAAATTTGAGGTGACCTTGACCCTCGCCCTGAATTGACGACCTGCTCCACAAGATTCCCCCGAGTCGAATGCCATACCACGACCCGCCCCCCGACCCCTGACCCAATCCACCCCCCGCAGCAAGCCCAGTCGAGTATACTCCCATGGCAGAAAACAAACTGGAACTGATACGTGGCTTTTCCTTGCGGATTAATCGATATGATTCGTACGTAGTTAGGTACACTCTTAAAAATTGTGTCACTATTTTGAAAAGTAAAAATTTATTCGTATTAAGCCCACTCTAAATAAAAATAAGTAAAATTTACTCAAGGTTGAGTAAATAAACAAAGGGATGACACAACCAAAATGTGAAATTTATTCAATCGTTGTGCAAAATTTGCCCCATGGGTACTTTTTACCTTTTGGTTGGGTCATCCTCTATTTTACTGTAAAATAAAAATAAATAAAATTTACACAAGGCTGAGTAAAATTTTCTCTCAACCTTGTGTAAATTATTTTTATTTAAAGTGTAACGTTAACTTGGTCAAGAGTAAAGTTTACTCTGCATTTGCAGTGGTTACTCTCAGCTTTTGTTAAAATTAGTCTCAATATATCGTTTACTTAAATTACGTAATTTGGAATTTAAGGTGCATTTACATACTTTGCCAAAGAGCGACATTATTTTTAAGAGTATACATATCGATTTCGAGCAAATTCGTCGCATTTAAATAAATAATTTATTGGCACGAGGAGAGAAATGAGAAAGGGAAATCAATAATAGCTCTATTCCTGTTATAATGAAGTAATTTCGTACATTTGCATATGTCGCAATTTGCGACATATGCAAATAATAAGGGCATAAAGCAAGATAACTTGTAAAGTTTTGCGAATTTGGAAGCTTGTTTACTTTGTAAAAGGTTTGCTAAAACAGAATGGAATTTTTTGTTCAAATTGATTCAACAACTCGGCATGTATTTATTCGCAAAATTAGTTCGCAAAACTCATTGTCATGAAGATTACACAAATCCGTCGCCAAAATGCAGAAGTTTTTTTAATTAATAGATTTTGGAAGTCATACTTATTTCGACGCGTCGTCGTCGCCGTTGCGATATAAGTAAAGTTTGCATATTTGCTAAATTCATCCATGAATATTGTGTAATAAAATTGAAAACTCTAAACGTATGTACGTATGTAAATATGTGCAATTTATTTTGCACAATGGCATCCATTTTGTACATATTTACATATCCAGAAATAATAAATAAGCCGCCCTTCGAGGTGCGATCAAAGTTGAATGTAGGGCCATACCTGTTCGAAAAAGCTTTTTCATTCAAAGTTCACTCATCCCGATTTCTGACTGAAGATTTTCATTCACATTCAGTCATTTTATTTCAAATTCATTTCATTTCATGTCATCTGACTTCATTTCTTAATTCACCCCATGTTTTATGTAAGCATAGGGTGAAAAATTAAAGGAGTGAAAAATCCTTTCATTCACAGTCACTCCTCTGAAATGACGGAATCTTTCACTCATTTACATTCAAATCATTCTCTATCATAATCAGTCAAATGAATGAAAGTGAACAGGTGTGTGTATGACTGGATATAATGCATTCTTAAAAATAATTCATTATTAAAAATAACGTCACACTTTATTTAGTGTATTTACATATGTACATACTATACTTGAGGGGTCGGCGGGTACGCATGGGGAGAAAACCTTAAAACATCCAGGCCAAAATCTCACCCTTTAACCTTCAAATATTCAACATGCGTGAAGGTTCTAAATATTAAATTATTGCCCTCCAATATCCAAATATCCAAATTCTCGCTCTGCAAAATGCAAATCCGGCCAAGATATGTGCCCCCCCCCACCCACCCCCTAATATCCATTATTTTCCCCGCCGAACTCTGTATTACATAAAATAGAATTCATAACACATTTACATTCCAACCTGGTCCCATTATTTTTAAGAGCATCTAAATATAAATAAATATAAACCTTGCCGTATTTATGCACTAACCCTTTTCTAACCCTTTTCCCAATTAAGTACATACATATGTACCCTTTTTAGTCTAACAATACATACTTTACCCCAAATATGTAAACATTGCATTCAACCCTTTTTACACAATTCCATAGTCTACACTTATTTAACTTAGAAACTGACACCGTGCATAAAATATTCCCCAAAACTAAATATTTCCTAAATAAAAAATTAATACCGTCATGTTATCAATATTATTACCAGTATTATTTCTCCTTCAATCCAAACCATCCCTGGCCCACTACTCACCACTCCTTTTATACTCGTCTTCGAAAGAGTTTTTGGAAGAAACAATTTTTGCTATTTGCCAGGATCCCATCAGTAAAATAAATTGCGGGCTCAACCCCCTCTTACAAGAAGAAATCTGTGAGGAAATGGTGCACAAAAATTTGAAACTATGGGTGCACAATGTGCTCAGTGATAAAGCATTTTACGCCTCTTGTTTCGTAAATTTGAGAGAAAATGCGTCTCCGATGATGGTCATGTTTGCCTTATTTTTTCATAATTATCTCTTCTTTGAGATGCCCGAGGGTAGCGAGGGCGAGCAGGAGGTGAACGAATATGCAAAATATTTTGCAAGTGGGTTTTGCAAAGAGGAGGAAATTTTTAGAAATTTGGAACTCTTAAAAAGTGAAGGGAAAAGAGAAGGAGCAGCTTGGGAAATTATTAAAAAAGTTCAAATGGTTTCTCGAATTGCGAAAGAGTGGAAAGGAGAAGAATGGATTGCGAGAGTACAAGAAGGTAATTAGAGCTTGCAAAAATGAGTAAGATTTACTCACGCTTGAGTAAAAAAAAGACGATGACACAACCAAGAGGTAAACTTTGTCCAACGCTGCGCAAAATTTACTCACCCGTTCGACAAATTTTGCACTAAATTTTGCACTTTACTTACCTTACATACAATGGAGGTCTTAATGGAGGTCTCCCAACGTATGCTCACAGATTTGGACCAAACTAGCGTCAATCGATCACGTATATAATTACGATGAAATTTGCAAATGGCATTACTTGCCAAATTGGCAAGTAAAAATTTTGCTGGAAAACCATGAGATTTTTTTTCGCAAATTTACCCAGCAATTGGGCTTTTTTCTGAGGTGAGGAAAGTAACCAAGGGCTACCCTCACGACAGAAAAGCGCATGGTTACGGCGAAGCCAAGGTATGCTTTCAAGACAGGGTCCTAAAACTTCTGTCAACGCTACAGCTCGACCGGTTGAATTTAGTGAAAAATTGTTGAAACAAAAAAATCAGACAATTACGAAATCTAGTGTCTTTTCATCTTTCTCGTTACGAAAGTCTAATATTGCAAGAATTTTAGGACCTTCGAAACTTTAAAACGAACCGGAAATTCAATTTTGCCATACAATGACCATGCCAGTAGCTGATTTTAGTGTCCGGGCACTGATCACGCATCATTTGAGACACGTTCGAGAAAAATCGGTCGAAAAATGAGAAAGTTTTGATGGTGGTATCTGCAGCCATTTACGCTGCTTAAAAGACTTTTCATAACTGCACCTAGCTGATTGCTATTAGTGACTAACAAAAAAATTTCCACGCAAAAACCAGTAAATAAAACTACATTTAAAAAACAGCATTCTTCGGTGAGGGTGCGACTAAAAACTTTTAAACAAGAGCATTGAGCAAATTTTGAAATTTAATATTTACCAACGTTTGCCTCACCGTGGGCCCAAATTGATTTGGTATATAAATAATGCCCACGGTGAGGTAGAACTTGGTAAATATTAAATTTCAAAATTTGCTCAATGCTCTTGTTTAAAAGTTTTTAGTCGCACCCTCACCGAAGAATGCTGTTTTTTAAATGTAGTTTTATCTTATTTCGCAAAATTACTTCGCAAACTCATTCTCACCATCGTCAGCAAGGGAAATTAAAGAAATCCATGGAAACAATACCAAAATAGGTGTTTTTCAGTAGATTTGTGAAATTGGAGAGTTTTGCGAAGTCATATTTTGCGAACCCCCTCACGACACAAATATTTTGATCTTCGCAAGTTTGCTAAGTGAGTTGCGATGCGAAATAAGAAGTTGTCGTGAGTACGCCCAATGAAAAACTTTATTGTTTTTTAATGGTGTCAAGTTTTCGATCTCGGTCTCGATCGTCATCAGGACGGACTTAATTACATAATTATTAACAATAATTATATAATAATTACTGCAATTAAATATATTGAACTAAAGACTTCGACTGAAGACAACAGGAATCCATATTCTGATCAATACAAATTAATGTACGAATAGATAGTTTTAAGAGTGGTGATGCAAATGCTGTTCCGAAAAATGTATTTAATATTGATAGCTGCACCCAGCCTCACTAAGATTTCCCTTTTTTGGAGGCTTGTTTATTTAATACCTGTTATTGAGTTATTTAGATACTAAACACAACGCATGCCCGAAATTTAATTTTGCATGTAGTTTGCAAATATTTTGCCACATAACTCGAGTATGTAGAACTCATATATTTATTCCATTAGTTGTTGTCAATGGCGTTTGTTTTTTTACCACCCCTTAAGCTTCATCCAATTTTTTGCACCTCTTATAGGAAAAACTTTGTCATTTATGAACCGATTTTAATCATACTACCCTTAAAATTTGCACAAAAATTTACTCTAAAATTTGTGAAATTCATTTTTCATTACGATACGCCATTAATTAGCTATAAATATAAATACGTTTCCAGGGGTATTTTTGCCCATTACTCGCGTAAAAATCAAGCATTCGCTAAGTCGCACCAGATCCCATTTCTAAATTATGTAACAATAAGCGGTGCAAAATTTCATCAAAATCGGTTGAGAAATGACTGCGATATCGCAGATGGTCACTTTTTTGGGGTGGGTAAATGCATACTTACAATGCGATGACGCCAGCGGTCTCGCTCCGATTTTGATGAAACCATGATAATTATGTAGCCTTACATAAATAATTGAACACATGTTTCGGGATTTTGCATAATGCTCAGTTTAAACAAAGTTATGATGGTATAAGTGGCCGAAAATTCGCCTGTTTCTCGTGAAGGTTTTCTTTTTTTGTTTTTGAGGGAGAAAAATGCTAATTTTTCTGACAAGAATTGAAATATTTTTACTAATTTTAGAAGAAGGGAGCGAC